CACCAGAGCCACATGTGGAATACCAAAGAGAAACGGGCCGCGGGGTGATGGTGAAGTTTATACAAATAATGAAGCCATCAGAGCCCTCTCGGGGCCGGGAGAAACCAGCCCACATACTGCAGTCGCAATGGCGACTCTCTAATTATTCTCATGAACTCTGTCCTGGTTCATTTTTCTCTTTTTGCATCCTCTTTCAGATTCTGATGAAACTATCGTCTCTGTGCTTTTTAAAATGTCCCAAGAAACGTAAAAGGGGAAAAGCAATGCCTATTTCGGAAGGCGTGAGGAGAAGGCAGGCACTGTTGGATGGATGGTACAAGCCTACAAACATTGATGGGGTTCCTTCCTCTGTGCCAGACACTTGGCACAGAAAGAGCAACAAGACCCTTTCTTGTCCGTGCTTGAAGGTTCGTGATCTAGCAAAGGAGAAAACACAGAATCGAGAAATAGGACAAACCAGGGACCTCTTTGTTAAACACCATGACATGTGAAACATGGTAGGGTTACTATAAGTAAGTGTTTACTAAACCACTGTTGAGTGAAAGAATAGCTGAGTGGATGGCTGGCTGGATGAGTGGATGGAGGGATGGTTGGATGGATGTTTGGATGGATGGATGGATGGATGGAGGGAGGGAGGGAGAGATGGATGGGTGGATGGATGGATGGATGGATGGATGGATGGATGGATGAACAAGCAAACAAAGGAATGGAGAGGTTAGTTGTGAATAACTCTCTACACAGGCAAAGTAGAAATGCCCTGGGAATTGCCTCCTTAAGGATGTGTCTACACCAAAGCTGCCAGTGGCTGGTTTTAAGTTCCTGGAAGCCTTGCACAAGCAAAATAGCTTTAGAATGCCTGGAATCATTGAGAAAATATAAAAGAGTAAAGAGAGCCAAGCTTAGACATGGAGTAACTGAAAACAATACTTGAGTAAGACAGCTTATACTCACTGCCATATTTTAATTTTGTCCTAATCATATCTTTTCTTCAGCTCTGTATGCCCCAGGTTATAATTAAGGCACACCCTAATAGTTAGAGTGGTGTGTTAACGAGGGGTTTCCCTTTCAGGAAAAGCAAAATAACATGGCTGAATCAGGCGCCCCGTCTTCTGCCCCTCCTCAGTCAGACAGAACTAGCGTAAATATGTTCACCTTCCCCTACATTTCCTCCAACTGGGAGGGCGACAGAGCAGTAGTGAGCGCAGCGCGAGAGGAGCTGCCGGGCTCTGGGAGACTGCCTTGCTAATCCAGCCAGAATAAATGGCAGCAGAAGACAACAGAGGCTTGTTTCCCAGGGAAGTGGTCGGATGGGGCGGGAACTGTGCCGGTTCTAGAATCAGACCTCGGGAAACTTCCCGAAACTTCCTCAGCCTCAATTTCCTGATCTAAAATGGGGACAACAAGAGCGTCTATCTCATAAAGCCATTCCGAGATTGAAATGAAAACCGACGTGAATCCATCAGCACATCGTGTCTTGTAGTAAGCACCTGATAAATATTAAGTGTCACTGAAGGGTGTGAAGTAGAAGCAAAGCCAGTAATTGGGACGTTCAGGGTGTTCCTGGTCCTTCTCTGGTTGATCTTGAGCAAATCAACCCCGTCCTGGGCTTCAGCATCTCCATCTATAGAATAATGTTCACGCTCCCCAAGGTATCTTCCAGTCTAAGATTTGTTACAATTAGAACCACAGCCCAGAGAGGAAAGGAAGCGAACACGGTTTCCTCTCCCACTGCAATCTCTCTCCACGTGGCCAAGGCTGGTGGGAAGGCGTGGAGGTACCTGAGGCCAGAAAAGGTAAGTCCCACAGGATTTGGAGGCCCTGGGAGAGGCGGCAGGCCCCCCCACCCCACATCCAGCTACGTGTCGGATGCTTCTTCCCCTCCAGCGGCTGACTCTGTTGGTTACCTACTCAACAGCCTTTCCGTCCTTCTTCCTCGAGCCCTGACAAAGTGAGCATGGACTTGGGAGTGGACCGTGATGGGTCTAAACCAATGGCTCTCAGTAGGAGGTGGTGCCCTCCCCCAGGGGAAACCTGAAAGAAGTTGACGCAGTGACTGGAGGGCTCCACCGGTGCTTGACAACTGAGGGCCGGGCATGCCAGAGGTCCTGCAGCAAGCCGGACACCCTGCACCAGCACACGGTGTCATCCCGACGCCAAGAGCACCCTGCCAAGGAGCACCGGCTGAAGTGTCCGTGGGAGCCCATTCACCCTCTGCTCCCGTTACCAGAGAAGTTTAGGCTTAGACATGGTCTGCTTTGGCCTTCCGCTTTCTGGCTTTCGCCACACCCTCTCCAGCATTTCTGGCTGGTGTGAGGTGGTACCTCATTGCAGGCTTGATTTGGACAAGCTTATTTTCAAATTTATACGGAAAGGCAAAGGATCTGGAAGAGTGAAAACAATGTTTGAGAGGGAGGAATAAAGTGGGAAGAATCAGTCCACTCAGCTTCAGGACATTGTATCATAACATATCTCTGCAGCAACTGAGCCCGGACAGTCTGGGTGGAGGGGGAGACACAAACACCAGTGGAACAGAACCGAGACCCAGAGACAGTCGTGCGTAAATGTGCCCAAGTGATCTTTGACAAATCTGCAAACGCAATTCGATGGAGGAAGGATAGGCTTTTAACAAATGGTGCTGGAGCAACTGGATATTTATAGGACAAAAAAAACCGTTGCTTGCCCTAAGTTACACCCAGCATACAAAAATTAACTCAAAATGTATTATGTACTTAAACGTGAAACTATAAACTTTTTAGAAAACAGCGCAGAGAAAATCTTTGGGCTCCAGAGTCAGGCAAAGAGTTCGTAGATTTGACACCATGAGCACATCCTGTAAAATGGAAAACTGATAAACTAGATTTCATTGAAATTTAAACCTTCACTCTGTAGAAGACCCTGTTACGAGGATGAAAAAGACAGCTCACACACAGGGAGGAAACATTTGCAAACCACCTGTCTGACAGAGGACTGGCAGCTAGGCTACAGAAGGTCTCAGAGCTCCATAGTGAAAGCCAAACAATCCTGTTAGAACACACGCAGAAGACTCCCAGAAGCATTTCACCAGGGCGGAGACGCCGACGGCAAACGGGCACATGGAAAGACCTCCCACAGCCCTGCCACCAGGGACATGCAGACTTAAATCGTATCAAAGTATCACACACAGGTATCAGAACGACCAGAACAAAGAGCAGTGGCAACACGGGGCACAGGGGAGGGCGCACAGGAACGATCACTCACACGCTGCTGGCGGGCATGGGAAATGGTGCAACCACTCCAGAAAACAATTAGGCAGTTTTTTAAAAATTAAAAATGCAACTATCATAGGATGAAACCATGGCATCCCAGAGAAAGGAAAACCTGTGTTCACACAAGAAACCTGCTCCTAGCAGCGTCAGTCATGGCACACCCAAACTGGAAGCAACCCAGGTGTCCTTCCGTGAGCGAACAGTTAAAAAGCCACACCGGGAATACTATACAGCAATAAAAAAGAATGGCTGATGCATGAATTTCCAGAGAACTGTGCCGAGTGAAACCAAAAGATCCAACCCCAGAAGATCACAGGCCACATGATTCCACTTCTATGACTTTCTTGAAATGACACAATTGTAGAAACGAAGAACAGATTAGTGGTTGCCAAGGGTAACAGAGGGGTGTGGTAGGAGGGAGGAATGTGGGTGTACAAGGGTGACATTTGAGACCCTTGTGATGGAGATGTTCTACACCTTGAATGTGTCAGCGCCCAAATCCTCAATATCCTCTTTGCAGTATTGACTATAGTTTTGCAAGATGTTGCCGTGGGGGAGACCGGGTAAAGGAGGCGTGGAATCTCTATGTATTTTTCTCATAGCTGCATGCCTATCAATGAGAGCAAAATAAAAGTTAAACTTTTAAAAATTGTGCCTGGGTGCATTCAACAGATCTGTTGAGCCAGGAAGCCCATCCCAGTCTGGTGGATGCTGGAACAGGCCCCGCAGACAAATATGGGGGGAAAAGCTGACAGCCCCACGTGGGATCAAGACAAGTGCGCCCCAATACTTCCCTTGCAGGAAGAGGAAAGGAAAAGAATTACCATACAGGCTGATTTACAAAAGAAGCCTCCATCAGCCTGAATCCTTCGGAAGCCAGAAGCTCGGCTCAGCCTGGCACACGGTCAAACAGCGCGACCCCGCCTCTCCCCAGCGCGCAGGGGCCCCTCCGACGCAGACTAGGGGATGTGACCCGTTCACACGGAGTCAGCAGTTTTCCACATGTGTTTGCAATCCGAGGCTTCCTGTGCGGTGCGTGGGCCCCTAAGAACACGCCTTCCGAGAACTCTGGTTTGGGGTGCCAGGCCAGGCTGGGCTTGGAGTGGAGTCCCGGCTGAGCACAAACAGGGGGTCAGAGGTCAGCTCTCCAGCCGGCAGGCCGGACTGTGGGCCTTGGGGTGCGGGTTGGGGAACCGCTCTCAGAGGGTTTTCTCGGGAAAAGACCATTTGCCCCTGTCGGACTCACTCCGGAGAAGAGAAGCCCCGCAGGGCCCGCCCACGTCTCCAGCCCCGCCTCTGCTGGGAGCCTGGGGTCGCGGCACAGAGCCCTGCCCCCGCCCTCCCCGCAGCCTCCTCTCCAGCTGCAGGGAGTCCCTCCCCAAGGAGCCGTTCCTCCCTCGTGCGCTTCGTAGGCGTTTCCAGGGAGCCCACAGACCACACTCCCCAAAACAATGTTCTAGGGTGTGAGTTTGACGGATACCCCATGTCATCCGCCCCCACTGTTCTCAAATTCCTTCGCAGATGGGATAACGGAGCTCTGGAAAGGCCCATTCTTTCTGACTTAACGCTAACATCCTTCCAACAATCTCTTCTCCATCAGCTTCAGGAAACAAAATTCAGTTGGAGCGAAGGCTTCCCTAAGCTGTGAGCACACACGGCCTCTGTCCGGCCCGGGGGCAGAGTCGCCCCCCCCCCCCGACCCCGGCCAGGGTCTCCAGGGGGCTGTCCGCAAAAGAAAGTGACCGACAAACTTACCAGAAGCTCCTGACCAGGACCTTCTTCTGCAAACTTCTCTCTCTGTCACATGTGGCCTCCGGGCCCCACGCTCTGGAAAGAAATTATCAGCGAGCCAGGGGGAGGGGATGCCTTCCACACGCACACGGAGGCTTCTCAAGGCCTATGCTTTCGTCTGACAGGGGATGAGGAAGGCAGGGAAGAGAAACGTGAGGAAAAGGGCAAGAAAAACTGTCCAAATGACTAGGAAACCTTGTGCCAGAAGGGTTGCCAAGCTCTGATGTCCTGGCTCCAGCTCCCAAGACCAAACGTCACACCCTGATGAGTTACAGCCAGGGTCCTCCAGGGCAGCGGGATGGGGGCTGGGTGCAGCTGCACAGCCGCTGTCACCCTTCCCTGCTGGGCCGCCACGAAGGCCACGTACACGGCAGGAAAAGCAACGGAGCAGGTCGGGGACGGGGGTCAAGGGCAGTCGACCTGGAGGTCCCCGAGTGGGCTTCCGGTGTGTGGGTCACATGCTCTGTAGTCCACGTCCTCATTAGTAACATACAGGTGTTAACACCCGTCTCAGGAGGTGAGTGTGAGAGGTCAGCTTTAGGAATACGTTTTGCCATAAAATAACAGAAAGCCCGACTGCGATGCCTGAAAGAATCAGGAGTTTGTTGTTCTCACAGAAATCTGGAGGTAGATATGCCAGGGCTCAGACACCTGTTCAACTCTCATTGATTCTAAGACCAACCTTTTTTTCCCCCAGCATTTTAACATCTTGGGAATCTGGATGTGCTTTGCAGACAAGTTGCGGTAACTCGCAGCACTTTATCTTTCCTAAAGGTACTTAAATAAAGGTGTGTCTTACAATACTGATTATGTTTCGGTGAGAGACGATGTGTTCTCAGGGGCTAGACTCTTACCCTGGTGGGGTTCATCCTCGTGCCTTGCCTCATGGTTGCAAAAGGGCTGCTGCACCTTCAACCATCACATCCGTATTACAGGTGAGAGGAAAAGAGACGTGGGAAGGAGATTAAAGTTCTTCTCTTCTGGAAACTTTGTTTTTTTTTAATTAGGAGGAGATGATCTGTCCAACAAATATCCATTTCTATATTATGGGCCAGAACTCTGTCACATGGCCATCTCTTGGGTGCTCAGAAGGTGAGTTTTAGGTTCCCAGGCTCTATAAAAGGGGTAGGCACGGGAGAAAGTGGGAGAAAGAAGGTGGTTAGACCTGTCGTGTCTGTCCCCTCAGGTAAAATAACAAGTCCAGCCTTGGGCACGTTGTAGAAGTTCCCCAAACAGCATCTCTTCACCTCCACACACAGCAAAAATGCAAGTGTTCTGTGTTGGGGAAGAGGGAAGCCAGGCCACCAAACAGCCTCACTTCTCGGAACACAACCAGCAGCCCTCCCTCAGAATGCAAGTGACTTTGCCCAGGAAAGAGCAATACACTCGCTTCTCTCCTTTCTGGTTCTGCAGACCCATCTCCGCAGGCTCACACCCCACAGGTGTCTGGTGCCAAATAAGGAAACCAGCTGTTTTGCCTTCCTCACAAGTGATTTTTTTGCTGTTCCTTCACCAAGTGAAGCTCTCGGGCACTCGCAGCCCTGCAGCCCTTCCAGCCTCGGCGGGAACTAGCCAGGCTGGCTGGCAACCCAGGCATCAGGCCACCCCGTGGACATACTCACTTTCTAAGATAACCAGAAAGGAGTTGATCTTTCTTCAGTTTCTCACAGAGGAACCCACAAATCCTCGTGCAAACCTGTAAGCAGGGTATGAGCGTTCCTATCTGCCAAAGCTGCAGTGCAGAGAAGGTAGGAAAACGTCTGAAGCAGGGAGCGGAGATGCAGACCAGGGTCTGTCTGGGGCGGGTTCCCTGCCCAGGGCAACTCGCTGCCTCTACAGTACTGCTTGCTATTTAAGTCTCAGTTTTAGGCCAGAAAAAGCGAGGCATCTCCTCCAACATCAGGAGCCCATGGAAAGGGGAGGTGCTGCAGCTGTGGATACCCCCAGGACCTGCTCATCGGCTCCTCTGCCTGTGCTGGATGGGTGGTGTGCTGGACGGGTGGTGCGCTGGAGTCACAGAGGTGGCCAGCACGTGACCGCTGAGATCGGCCAATCTGGTTCCCTCCAGGACAGGTGAGGACACGGAGGCTCTGGTGGCAACAATAAGGAAAGGGACCAGGACTCAGGCCACTTAACTTCTAGGCTCGTACTGGTTTTCAAGCTGTCAGATGGCCTCTCCCTGTCACTCGAGGGCCAGGCTGGGAAGCTGCCCGCTACCAAGTCTAACTTGTGGATTAACATTTGTTCATTTCACAAGTATTTTTAGAAAGATTACCAAGGCCTGGCACTGTTCTGAGCACTGGAAATGCAGTACAAACAAGAGATGTTCTCGTGGGGCAGACAGAGGTGTTACGCAGAATGACCAGGAGTGAACTTTAGAACTGGGGTCAGGGAAGAGCTCTCCTAGAGGGGTCACACTTGAGCAGAGACTTGAATGATGAGAAGAAAACAGTGGGTGAAGGTCTGGAGGAAGAATGGTCCGGGTACAAGGGCTTGATGGGGAAAGGGCTTGGCTTGCCAAGAGAGAAAGGAAGTCGCTGGAGCCAGATTTGGGGAGCCAGGCAGAGAGAAAGTGACCAGGTGGAAGGGGCAGGCCAAGGGCAGATCCCATAGGATCCCAGAGTTTTGCTTCTGTTCTCAGTACAATGAGAGGTCACTGGAGGGGTTTTGCACACAAGTGCCATGCTCTCATGCTTTAAAAAGATCGTTCTGGATGCCGGGGAAAGAACAGAGAAGGGGTGAGAATATAAAAAGACAGTGCCAGCAGTCTTCCAGGGCAGAGCCCCGTTAAACCGTGAACCTGGGGTTTTCACAGGGCTGCACCGCATACATCTGTGCAGGTTGTGCACTGCTCAACTCCAGGGGTGCCTGTCACATAAACGCAGTATGACCTTGGACTTGGTAGCATCTGTCTTGTCCACACTCTCCCTCCATCTCATCTTCTCTCAGTTTCCTATCACCACAGGTCCTCCAACTGGCTCCCTCACCCCAGCACTGCCATGCCGGCCTTTGGAGACCGCCCCTCATTCCTCCCTCAGCTGCACCACGCGGGTTCCGTAGCCCCTGCGTCTCTCCCAGTCTCCCCCCATTTCAGGTTTTCCTCCACGAGAACTACAGCAACTCCCGCCTTCTGAGACCCCCACCCCACCTCCCCTCTGCTCCCCCTTCACAGTTGGGGGGTCCTGTCAGCTCTCCCTGCGTCCAGTGGCTTCCCCGGCCCAGCAACCTGGTAAATGTGTAACCAGGCTCGCTGTGGCCAAGTTTCCAAAGACAGTGGCTGGATAAGCTCAGGCTTTCACGGCTTTGGGAAGTAATGGAGCCTGTCTTGCGCCATGGGTTAGACCCAGCTCCCGCAGCTCCGCACCTGCCGTCTCACAGGGCAGGACAGGATAGGTGGGGTCTGTCCACTCTTCCTCTTCTCTCCAGTCCAGGAAGAAAACTTGACTCTCCCTGGGCCCAGGGAACGGAAAGCTGCCGGCCCGCAGGGCTTCCAGAGGAGCAGGGCGGCCATGGGTCTTCCTTGTGTGTGTAGGCGGGGGGGCACAGGCGAAGCTCTTATGATCAGACCGGCTTGTGCCTGGCGTCCCTGGGCACCCCCACCGCCAACTTCTCCGCGGATCCTGCTAGTTTCCCGCCCCACCAAGGGCTCCCCTGGGGGTAGCGAGAGCAGGGAGACGTCCGGGTGGGGGTCTGCAAGCCGCCCGACCCATTCCCCCTCCTCGCAGGGACCCCCGGGCCACCGCACCGCTGCCCAAACTCCAGCTTGATTCACTCTGTGCGCTCTGAACG